CTAGTAGTAAGATATTCCTTAACCTTGTCTGTTTGTGAGCTGTGATTTTGTTGTTGCACGTGTGGAGTGGTGCGCTGGTTGCTGAGCTGGCTTTTCAAAGGGAAAACTTCCCTTCTAACTCCTTATACAACAGAATGAAATCAAGAACTTATCTGCTAGAATTGAATGATCGTGTGAACTTGGGCACTTTCTTAACTGCCTTATGATTAAATTGAAATGCTCTTTGGACTGAAATTCTTTGTTATTTGCTTGCCTTTACAATGAACCTATTTTGTTTAACTGTGCCATCCCCAATTGCTCGATGACTCTGTTTCTGTTTTTGAGCTTGCTGCAATTCAATACCATTGGTATATTGCTCTGTTTTTGGTGAATTTTATGCTAATGAATGAGCTAAAATGCATGCATGTATACACAGGTTAGTAAAATGCAAAAATGTATGTCGAATGTATAAAATAATGGAACTGCTATGTATGAAAATGCCATGGACTTGGTGATTAAATTGAAATCAGAAAACTTGATTTTGTGGAATGAAATGGTATGCAATGTAGTGACTCTGGGGTAACTTGACAAATCCTGTTTATCTCCTCTGTATTTCGAACCTTTGCTTGGAGCTTTGCAAATTGCTATTTGCCATGTTTTGCCATTCGACCTTAGAATGTTGTTATGTTTTGTTTTCTGTATTTTAGGTGCATCTTTCAGTATGAAAATGTCATGCTCTCTGATATAACTGCTAATCCTGTATGAAAGTGTATGCTGAAAATTTAAAACCCTGAAGTTACATGAAATGCTATGAGTGCAGTATGGATGTTAACAAATTGTGCTGTCTTGGACTTGAATGCCTGTGGTTTTGCCATTTGATTCCCTTTAATGATGTTGGGTTCCCTTGAAATATCTACTGATCTTATCATGATTGAGCCCTGAGGTTTCCCGTTATAGTTTTGGTGTATTGCCTTGCTTGCTGTTTTCTGTTTCTCATCATTTCCAAGGCTGTATGGGAGTTCAGGGGTCAGAAATCAATTCTGAATCCCTTTCCCAATTCAGCCAAGAGCAGAAAAATCCTTCATGCTTGCATGTTGTTTCCCTTGTGTGCATTCTGTTATGAAGCTCTTGATGGGCTTGCTTGCTTTCCTCTACTTTGTGCTTTTTAACCTAGTTGCCCTTTCCACCATTCTTCTCATGCATAGCCCTGCACATGAGGTCTTGTAAAAGACCTTCAACGCTCGGGTGCATGCTTGTTTGATAGCCTTTACATGTTCCTCTGTCTTGTAAAAGCCTTTTCATGTACTGCATTGCCTTTGCATTCTATTTAAGCCCTCCGACTCTCTTCTCAGATCACATCAATTGATGGTGTTTAGCTTTGAATTTGGGGGTTACATTTATATTCTGCACAATACCCTTCTTTTTTCATCATCTGACAGGGTTGGATCAAGTGCGTCAAAAGCACCAAGCACGGGAAAGGGAAAATAAAAGATGATCCCACCAAAGTCAAGCTCCCAACCTTGTAACCAAAAGAAAGCCCATGTACTTGTAAACCAAAGCTACTGGCCTTGTCATCTTGTAAATGCAATCTTCATTTTCTGTATTTTATACTCATGTAAATGTACTTTAAATAAATCCCACTAAAGATTGAAATGCATGACTATGACCTACATGTGCCACTAGTCACCCATATGACTAATTAAACAAGGAAAATGAATATGATATGCCTAACCGGAAAATGCTAAATGTGATGAACTTGCTTAATGGACACAGGCGGTAGTATCCATATAATTAACAAACAAGTGAAAATAAGTATGACCAAGCTTAATAAGAAATGAAAATGAAAATAGATATATACATGACTAATGTGACTAATGGGAAGATGATACCCTATGAAAGTTAAAATACCAATTGCAAACTAGGCCCATTTCTAAAAAAAAAGGTTTTAACTTTAATGTGAAGAAAATATCCAAGATGCACAAAAAGAATTTTTTATTTTCAAGTTGACTAAAATGAATTAGTTAATCTAAATTAAAAGCGTACTAGGAATGACCAAAATACCCTTAGTGCACGAATGACCAAAATGCCCCTATATGATCCTAACACCTATTAAGAAATAAATTGATTTAAATTGAAGGATACAGGACAAAAATGGGTGTCTACATAGGGCCTTCTCTTGAATAGTCTTCTCAAGATCCAAATTGTTGACTGTTTGCAGCCATGTTTTCCACTAAAGTCCAAGCTTCGACAGGAGTTTTGTCTATGAAAGCTCCTCCACTTTCAGAATCGATGGAAGATCTGTCAAACGGTAATAATCCTTCGTAGAAGTACTGGATCAGCAACTGTTCATTGATTTGATGATTAGGGCAGCTGGCACAAAGTGTCTTGAAACGTTCCCAATATTCATGCATTGTCTCTCTAGGGCGTTTCTTAATTCCGCAAATCTCCTTCCTTAGGTTTGATGCTTTATGTGCAGGAAAAAACTTTTCCAAGAACAACTTCTTAAGGCTCGTCCAAGATGTGATTGAACCTGTGGGTAGGAGGTACAACCAATCTTTTGCTCGGTCCATAAGAGTGAACGGAAAGGTTCTTAACATGAATTGATCTTCAGGAATACCTTGAATACTCGTTGATGCACAGGCAATCTGGAAATCAGTAAGATGTCGGTGAGGATCTTCTCCAGGCAAACCATGAAATTTGGGTAAAATCTGAAAGTTTTCAGTTGTATCTAGGTAACGAATGGCTAAGCGTTTGGCGTTGACGTTTGGTGCGGCTAACTCTTTCAGAGTTTTGGGTGCTTCTGCGTCGGCCATGTGTTCTGATGATGTTGAAGCAGCAGATCTAGGAGAACTAGGTTGAGAATTTGAATTGGATGATTCTTCTTCTTGTTGTTGGCTTTGTGTCTCCATCCTTAATTGAAATAGTGTTCTTTCAGGCTCAGGATTGAATTCTAAATCTTCAATACCACTACTTCTTGACTTTGGCATGCAACTTCCTAGAAAAATTAAACAAAACTAAAAAGAAAAATTAGCAGTAACAGTTCTTAAACAAAAATTAAAAAGCAGAAACAAAATTTTTTTTAAAATCGATGCAAACCCTAATTAATTTTTTTTTTTAAATCGCAAACTTTTTTTTCTTTAGAAAAAACGGAAAAAGAAATTTTTTTAGAGCAGATTAATTCTTGGATCTAATCTCACTTCCCTTCCCCGGCAATGGCGCCAAAATTTATGATCGGTCGTCAGCAATCATAAAAATAATCCCCACAAAAACTAACTAAAATTTGTTAGGGCAAGTAGGGGTCGAATCCCACAGAGAAGGGTTATAATTGTGAAGATCTTTTCCAAAGAATATATTTTTTTCCAAAAATCACTTAGAAAACATGGGATTAAAAATACTAATTAAAAAGAAAGCAATTAAACTAAAAACAAATCAAAGCAAATTAAATCTAAATCTTGGGCAAATTATAAAGCAAACAATAATTATAAAGCATACTTCTTCTTCTCCAATGGTATGAATCAATCAGATTAACTATGGATCATTGATTTAAAAGGTGAATTTAGCGTCTTATTCTTGATGATAACTGATATAGGAAAATTCCAACATGTATTTTAGATAAGAGGTCGGTCAAAATTGCAGTTATCCCTTTTATTCCTTCAGCAATCAATTACTTTTTCAGGGCCTAAAGGTCGCTTGAGAACAAAGCATTAAGAACAATTAATTTACACAAATGCCTACAAGTAGAACCATACGAAGAGCAATTTCTCACCCCCCGATAGACAAACTCCCATCAGGCAGCGGTCAAACTAACCTAATTTGCTACAATAAATCAAACTCGGAGGTCAAGCCTTATTTGATTAGTGGTAGATCTATTCAATTATGTCATTAGTGGCCACATAAATCAATAAAATTCAAGATCATAAAATAAAACAGGGTTTTGCCTACTATCTATCAAGAACTTAACACTAAATTATAAGTATAGAAATCTCACCATAATCAATTGATTGAATTCACCAAAGGATAAGAAGTATTAAGGGTTTAGCTACTCATGGACTTGGGAAAATCCATGAGAGGCATAAGAATACTTACAGGACTAGAGAGAGACGATATCCTCCCTTGAAAACCCTAGGTTTATCGCACCCCTCTATGTTTAGAGAGGGTGTCGACTCCCCTACCTAAAAACTAGAGAAAAACTAGAAAATAGAAGAAAAGAAATTATGTGAAAAGTATATGGGTATGTGTGGTTTGTGTTCCAAGAGGTGGCTTTATATAGGGGACTAATTAGACTCCTCATAGACTTAGTAATAGCCTAGGACGGTTCTAGGTCTAACTTGGACTCCAAGTTGGATTAAAAGTCTTCCTAGAGTAAAATCCAAGTCAAATTAGGATCCTGGAATTTTCTGGATTTCTGCAGAAACTTCAACAGAAGATTCGGGCTTGAAAATGACAGAACTGGGCTTTTGACTTCAAAGGAAAGTTGTAGATCTCGGAATTAACTTTCCAACGGCTACTCATGGGCTCAAAACGGATATCTGAGCAGAAAATTATGGCCTTTCTACAGAGACTGCGCTGATTCCTACTCCAAATAGGACTAGTTGCGGGAAATTACGGGATTTAGATATTTTGGAGGGTTTATGCGGCACCAATTGGGATTTTAACTCCAATTGTGGACTTATATGGGTTGAGTATTATCCCATATAAAATCCAAAAATCCTTAACTTCCGGGCTTGTTCTGGGCTTGACTTCAATCCTTTGCAAATAAGCTCCAAATCTTCAATTCTTGTTTCTTGAAATAATTCTTCAATGGTTTTCAAATCTTCAAAAAATCTTCAAATACGAACTTCGAATCTTCAAATCTAAAGTCACCAAAATAGCTCCAAAAAAGAGTGAAAAACAATAAGTTTTCACTTTTCTTGTCTTCAAGACCTAAAAACACAAATATTTGCAAAATAGGGTAAAAATACATATAAAAGGGCAAAAAGTATGGAAAAATAGCTATAAAAATATGCATAATTTTGTCTCGATCAGGTGCACTTCTTAAGGTTAGCATACAATTTCTCAACCCTAAGTACATCTAACAGACAACGCAAGTGCTTAATATGTTCATTTAGGTTTCGGTTATACACAAGAATATCATCAAAATAAACAACAACAAACTTGCCAATATAAGCACTCAAGACATGACTCATTAACCTCATGAAATTACTAGGTGCATTAGTCAATCCAAAAGGCATAACAAACCATTCATACAACCCTATCTTAGTTTTAAAGGCAGTTTTCCATTCATCACCCTCTTTCATGCGAATTTGATGATAGCCACTCTTTAAATCAATCTTAGAAAATAAGCAAGCACCATGCAATTTATCAAGCATATCATCTAATCTAGGAATAGGGTGACGTTACTTTACCGTTATGTTGTTTATTGCTTTACAATCAACACACATTCTCCAAGTTCCATCCTTCTTAGGAACAAGCAAAACAGGAACTGCACATAGAAAAAGGCTTTTACGCACAAAACCCTTTTGTAGTAGCTCTCCAACTTGCTTCTCCAACTCCTTTGTTTCTTCAGGATCTGTCCTATAAGCTGGCTTATTAGGTATTTGCGCTCCAGGGATGAAGTCAATTTGATGTTCAATCCCCCTAATTGGTGGTAAACCATTAGGAATCTCCTTAGGAAAAACATCTACATAATCACTCAAAAGAGAAACAATGTTGCTTGGAAGCTCTTTTTCCAAGTTGTTAGTAGCAACAAGTGTATTTTTAAGCAAAAGCAAGAGCAAAACAGAATTATCATTCAATGCTTCTTTAATCTCACTCTTAGTAGCTAACATACACTCCTTAACAACTTTCTTAGAACTAGCATGCTTATCAACCAAAACAGATTTGTTGTCAATGCAATTCACACTAGAACTAACATTCTTAGCCTTTTCTTGAACACTATATTCCGATTCCAATTTAGCAAAATCCTCTTTCAATTTCAATTGATCTTTTAAAGCTTCTTGAGGTGATAAAGGAATCAAAGTAATAGGATGCTTGCCACAAACAAAAGAATACTTATTTGTCTCACCATCATGATGGACCTTGTTGTCATATTGCCATGGTCGACCAAGTAAGACATGGCATGCTTGCATTGGAAGAACATCACATAGCACCTCATCATTGTACCTGCCCAAAGAAAGAGAAACTAAAACTTGTTTGTTAACCTTAATCTCCTCTCTATCATTGAACCATCCTAAACTATTGGGTTTAGGGTGTTTGGTAGTGGGCAACGACAACTCCTTCACTAAGTATACACTAGCTATGTTTGTACAACTTCCTCCATCAATGATCACACTACTAGGTTTCCCACACGCATACATCCTAGTATGAAACAAATTCTCCCTTTGATTGTGCACATCTTCTTTAACATAGGCACTTAAAGTTCTTCTTGCAACTAAGTTCAAAAGTGTCGGTGTATTACCATTTTCATCATGCGCAAATCCCCTTTCATCATCTCCATCACCACTAGATCCTAGTGCAAATTCTTCATCTTCACTCTCAATTTCTCCATAGTCATTTGTGAACATAACATTCTTGTTAACACAATCCTTAGCATAATGACCATATCCTTGACACTTAAAACACTTAACATGATTCTTAGAAGAAGAACTTGATGAAGACTTAGAATCGGTTTTAGGGTTTGCCCCCTTTTGCGCCAACTCCTTCTCTTTGTTGGATGATTTCTCATCTTTCTTAATTGGAATCTTCTATGAGCTTGATGACGATGCAAAGCTCTTCTTAGCGCCATTCCTTTTAACTTGACTCTCGGCCTCCAAAGCATGTTAAAGCAATTCCTCAACATCATAGTGTTGTTGCATCTCCACTATGTCATGTATATCCCTATTCAAACCCGCCATAAACCTAGCCATAGTGGCTTGTGGAGCTTCATCAACCTCGGCCCTAGACATCAATAACATCATCTCCGAATAGTACTCATCAACACTCCTTGTCCCTTGCCTCAAAGATTGCAAGCTTTGATAAAGAGAATTGATATAGTAGCTTGGAACAAATCTCTTCCTCATGAAACTCTTTAATTCCAACCAAGTTCCAATAGGTGTCTCCAAATTTCTCCTCCTTGATTGCACCAATTGATTCCACCAATTCAAAGCATTCTCCGAAAACTCAAGGGTAGCAATTTGCACCTTCTTAGATTCGGCATGGGGGTGATAGTCAAAGTACATGTCCAATTTTAACTCTCCCATTGAATTTAGGGATTTTGTACTTGATGTTGTCTTTAGACTCCTCTCTTTCAACTCCCCTCCTAGGCCGCAAATTCTCATTATAAGCTTGACCCCCAAGCTCTTGTTGCCTCAATCTCTCCATAGGATCGATTCTAGGAATAACATGTCTTAGTGGTGGAGGTTGAACTCTTTCATTGTTGTGTGCGGCATTGGCTCCTTGTTGAGGAGGTTGAGCTTGTTGATTTTGTCCCTCTCTTACTTGTTGGACATCATTAGCCAAAGCATCAAATTTAGTATCCATATTATCCAAACGTTGCATTAGGGTTTGCAACATAGCAGCCAAATTGGCTTGATTTTGCTCTCCTTGTGGAGTTTTATCTCCCATGGTACCTACACAAAGAACAAAGATTAGTAGTAAAAATCCTCACAAGTGTGTGTGTGTGTATACCTTGATTGTGCTCTCGTGTTTGCACTCAATTCCTATGGATTGGCGGTCCACTACTCTCTTGATGATCTCACAAGATTATGCCTTTTACTAGCTTCAATAGGCCTAATAAGAGCAACTCGTTAGAGAACTCCTTTCTTCTCGTGACCTACTTGAGGAACAAACAATTAGTAGCAAAATTTTTGTGAATCAAAGGAAAGTGATCTAAACCAAAACCAAACCACTTATGCAGGCCTCTTGTGTCGAATTCCTTCTCCAAACTTGCTGCACAAAAACTCAATTCAAGTACAAATCAAATAATTCAAATTGATTAGAAAACCCTAGTACCAATTAAATCCAATTTTGTACCACTTGTCTCCAATAGGGTTTGTAACCTGAAATTCTTCAAATTAAGCCTCAATTCATAGCAAAAGCAACCCAAGATACTCAATCAAACAATCAATTAAGGTTAATTGCAACAAATTGAATCAATTGCACAATAGAAAACCCTAATTGCCAAATTCCCAATTCAAAACCCTAGTTTCTGCAAAAAGTCGATAACACCACAGATTTTTTTGATTTTTTTCAATATTTTCCCAGAAAGATCACACTAAAAGAAGTCTATAGCTCAAATTTCAAAGCTTTCCGAGCTCAAAAACAAAAATTCACAAGTTTCTGGTCGAATTTTTTATTTATTTTTTTGATATTTTTCGATATAACTACTAGTTATAAGGAACTCAAATCTTAAATTTCAAAGAAAACAGAGTTAATATGAATCCACAATGATTTTTTAAAGTTTCTGAATTTTTTATTTTTCAAGGTAGGGTGCGATATGAACTAGATGAACTTTGATGGATGAAAAACTTGATGAATGATGAATAGAAGGATAGATTTACCGATTGAAGATGACAACCTATGCTCTGATTACCAATTGATACGAATCTAGTTGTGTTAGATTCAAATCCACCTTTGAATAGCCACCAAAGTCGACTTGAAAGACCAAAACTTCTAGACTTGTAGAATTCGATAAACCTAACCTAGTCTTCTTCTTCGTTCGTCGGTCTTAAGCTCTCAATTAGACCTGCAATTGAACACTTAAGATCACAAGATTTACAAACAATTAAGCAATCACAACCTAATTGTTTGCTAGGACTCTACAAGATTGAAGAACCCTAAGTTTGCTCAAACTAGAACAATGAAGCCAAATAATCGATATGGGTGAATAAACCTCTCAATTTTATTGATAACTTGACTTGTGTTTATAAGAGGGGGATGGTCCCTTTATATAGTGGTAGGGGACGCCCCTCACCCTAATCCTAAAGCCTTAAGGGCAGCATAACATAAAGGAAGGATCAAGGAAATTGCATACTTCTTGTCCTACTAGGAAAAGTAAATAACATAACTTAATTAAGCAAGGATTGGACTTAGTTAAACAAGGCCCAACCGAATGTCTTCTATACTAATGAAATAGCTAATCTAAGATAGAATTAAGACCCATATGGCAGAATTACACAATGAGAAACCCTAATGACCATCGACTTCAAGTAAAGTGCACAACTTGGAATCGATTGGAATATTCTTGCATATGTCGACTTCATTGTCTTCCAATTGATCTTCAATGGACTTCAAGCCTTCAAGATGAGTTCGAACAAAACTTGTTAATGCATCTTTGAACTTCTTAGCTCTTGCTCTTGTCATCGGACCTAAAGCATCTTCAAAGGATCAAATGGCATCTTTGGTGCGATTCCATCACCTAATGGCATCTTTGTGATCCATCCTCTCCTTTAAGCTTGTCCTTGCTTCCTCGCACTCCTTGAGCATCCTTTCCATGATCTCCATTGTCTCCATTGTATTCTTCAAGACCATGATAAGCCCTTGGCGCATCCCAGAAGAAGCCAATTGATATCACAAGATGGCAAACAAAATATGATGATAGCCATTATAGCAAAACAATTATCTAAAATGAATGAAATATAAAGATTAAGTTCCAAACTTTCTTTATTTAATGATGTAACAAGCAAGATAGATTTTGATATTATCACTGTAGGATTCACCAATTCCTAACTAAATGACTAAATTAATTGCTTAATTAAAGTAACATCCTTCTTCATAGTCACATTCTCTACGTGGCAAAACCTCAAAGATTAAACATGCTTAAAACTCAGCTGAAAGCCATGTTACCAACAAACATTGCAACCTGTAGCTTTCTAGCCTAGTTCTCAATCCCTTTGGTCAATAGTAATGATATTGTGCCCGGTTCTCAACCCCTTTGGTTCACTAGCTTATCCTCCATCCAAATTTTGTAAGCCACTTGGTCAATGGAGCCAACCTAGAAATTTGTATTTGAAGTCTTCCACATTCACATCCAAAAAGCTTATATGATAATAATAATAATGATATAGAAAAAGGAAAAGGCATGTATAATCCTATGTAAGAGATAAGTGTTGCAGAGCTTATCTTGTGATGTGTAAGACTTCAAAGGAATACCAATTTGCAAAGGGCCATAAAACATAATTCAGAAGAGAAAAAGATGTCACTGTTTGCTTGGTCAGGCAGATGCCCAATTAAGACAGTAACAGTTTCCTCACAGGACTTCTCCATGGCCAACGATTAAGTTTGAAATAGTTACTTCTTAATTTATTTACTGAAAAAAAAAAAAAAAAAAAGGAAGAAGAAGAAGAAAGAATTCCACCCAATATACACAACTAAATTACCCCAATCAGGACAAAGATCATTGCTGATGCATATATCCATGCCTTACTGAAACACTCTCGATCGATATACCTATCTCCTAGCCTAGCAGTACTTGACTCACGAAAAAATCCTTTGAAGATTTCCCTGCACACTGATCTTCATTCAAGTCTTCACCAAGACAGCAGAAAGTTATCGTTTAATGCTTGAACCCATGTAATTCAGCTAAGAATTTGATTTTAGTTAAAGAAAATTTCCCTTCTCAAAGCAACTCAGTCAAGATACTAGAAAAGGATGACCAGAAGAGTAGAAAAAAATCATCTTCAATGACCTTGCCTATCTAATTTATTTTCAACATGTAATGATGTAGTTAAAGCATTATATGAAACTAATTACAAGGGATAGCGAAAAATCAAAAACAATAGATGAGTCAAAGAGTCAAATCTGAAGATATATCAATGAAAACTGTCCATTTGTACCAATTAATTCAAGCAACAATGAATGATCAACTACAGCTGATTAGCTGTTCATCGAGCACAACAACGGAGCAAACATACCTTTACTGCATCTTGAAACAAACGAAAAGCTTTATCCATTTGGGTTGGGAAGGATCATCATTCCCAATAGGCATGGCCCTAAAAAAGGGAATTTTCTCTAGTGCAGCAAAGTCTTGCCCAAAGAGTTCATCCTTACAGACCCCTGCTAGTTACATTGATGTCAAATTAGAAGTATTGTATATTATCAAAAGCATTTTAATAGAGAAGAAGAAAGTACAAATATTTCAACCCTGCTATCAAAATGTCCAGGGTATCATATTATCAAGATAATAATGAGTATGGTCCTACCTGCAGACTGAGGTTCTCTGGTCCAATTATCCTCCTAGTTCAGCAACATCAAGACACCAATCATATTATACAAAACTAGACAAAAGCATAATGTTCAAATACATGGACAGAAACAAAAAGAAATGCTGCAAGAGATTAATATCAGGTGAATATGCAAAGTTCTGAAATTTAATAAATTCTATCTGTATATTGATGCAGACACCATATAAAGATAACGTGGATATGCAAAGTTAAATCCTAAAGCCATATATGCTTTAAATAGATTTAAATTGAAAGAAAGAAAAGGTTAATAAAATACCATTTTTATGCCTCCATGGATTTAGCACGATTGACATCATGGGGAGATGATGAACAAGGAACATTATCTGAAGCTCCCCTGTTACTAGTATCTGATTGAATCTTCTGATCGCTTCCAAGCTCTATAGCTATCCCTATCCTGTGTAGGAGAGTTGGGGTACGGATGAGGCTTTAGCCGCTGTGATCAGATGACGCCGAAACGGAAGGAAGCAAGAGATTCATCCTACTTTTTGTTCTCAAAGCAGGCGCTTAGGGGCGAAGCGAAGGAAGGGATGGGTGGTTGATGCGCGTCGCAACACAGCAAATAAAAATCACAAATTCTCTAACTTATAGCTAGGGTAAATACGAGTCGAATCCCAAGGGAGCTAACGTTACTAACTACTTAACCAAACAAGTTTAAAGTAAAAATAGGGGGTTGTTTTTTATTATGAACTAAGTGCAAATAAAAGTAAATTTCAAGTATGTAAATATTCAGAAAATGTAAATCAAGAAAATAGATATCAATTTATGGAAATTCCAATTTTAAAGCATTGATTCATAGGTAGTTAATTTAATCATTAGTACAAAGTGTAAATTCCTCCAATTAGATAGGTAGCGTGAATTAAAAGCTAAATGCCAATTAATCCCTATTTTCCCTTATTTCTCATTAGTCATGATGCAAGTCCTAGACTAAATCATAACAAATATACTAACCTAGTTCCAATCATCTACCAAGTTCAAGTAATTTATTGCATTAAGGACTAGAAAAATATTTGCTACCAATAGACAATATTCACTAATATAGGCAATATTCAATCTATTCCTAATTTTCCCTTAGAGGGCTACTCTAAGTTGTTACCTAGGATATGAAAACCTACAATTGGATATAGGGTTCAAAATCTAACATTAGAAAACATATTAAAATTAACTAGGTGTACTTCCAATTAATTAAAACATGCATTCATTCCAACAATATAGAGAAAATTAGAATACCCAATCAAAATAATTTAATTAAGAACAAAACCTCATAAATTAAAACCTAGAATCAATTTGCTTTAGAATTGGAAAAGGGAAATTTAGCTACTCATACTTTGGAAAATAAAAACACTAGAGTTTTGATTAACCATAAAGATAGAGTTCAAAGGAAAA